TAAATACCGTAAATGTTTAAAAACACAAACCTTTCTTCAGCAGAATAAACAGACGCAGGAGCGCGGCGCGGACATATGACGTCACAACATCATACCAAAATAAAAAAGTCCTGGGGGTATTCCAGAAAGCAGGTTATGTGACATAACATGTTAAGTAATGTTTTATTTCGTTCTAACCTATAACTCGGGAAATGTAACGAAAAAAAAAAGCCTATCATTTTTACTTAACCAATTAATTTTAAGCCCTGATTTTAGACACATAATATAATATATTATTGTTTGACTAAACGTTTATCATGAAATGTGTCTTTTTCAAGCAATAATTCCAAAAAGAAAGAGAAGCATCGGACTTAATGCAAAACATATTCAAGACATTAATTATTTTATTTCGATCTGCAGTCTAATAAAAGTTAAGAAAAAATTGAATTAGCCTATAGGCCTATCTACAGGCTATTTCTATTTTTTCTTAACTTTTAACTTCTTAAAATTTGTTATGAAGAATTTTAAATCAACTTCATAACAAATAGGCTAGGCTAATGAATTTTCGTCATAAGCAATATACGAGCATAACGAATACCCTAGCTCAGTGGTTCTCAATTCCAGTCCAGGGGGCCCCCTGCTCTGCACATTTTGCATGTCTTAAAAAACAGCTTAAACGTTTAGTCAAACAATAATATATTATCTCATGTATGTCTAAAATCAGGGCTTTAAAAATGAATTGGTTTTAAGTAAAAACGATAGGCTTTTTTCCCGTTACATTTCCCGAGTTACAGGTTAGAACGAAATAAAACATTACTTAATGAATTCAAGGCACTGTAATTTCCTTATCCATTTGAGTAAAACTATTATATATATGCGTGAGTCACGACCCTTACCTAGTTTAGGGTCATTATGGAGGGTCCTCCTCTCGAAGAGCTAAGTATGACTTCTTAAAACCTGTCATACGAAACAAACTCAGAATGTTCTCCTAGTATCGAAAAGAAGGGTTTCATTTGCAACAAGGTTTGCATGCCCTTATTGTTGTGGTAAGTCCAGAGAACAGTTTTGGTTAATACTGAGCTTACTTCCTTTTCCAATCAGGACTTCAGGATCGTCACCCTGATATGAGCTTTGTCAGCTTCCTGAAATCATACCACCTGAAGACAGCAAGATCAAGTGGTAGCAGCTTGCACTTTTTGATATGCAAGTCTTTAGGGTTGAGTGCAGAGTAGTGCCTCCCACATTCCAAAGAGTCCTTAAACTCCTGCCCACAAAGTTACACATCTCAAGAGCTCAATGAGAAGACAATGAGACACTGCACCTCACTGCAAATCTTTGAACTGCCTAGTCACTTCTTCGTCAGACAAAAGAGGATGACACTACTGATGCCCTTTGATACTCACAGTCACACTGGTAGTGATGCCATGGACTGTCGTCAATCAATAATGTTGTGTTTTGACATGCTTCAGACACCAGTCAAGCTGGAGGCAGTCCCCCATCTCAGACACAGTCTTTTTCCCATTCTCAGAGAACAGAAAGGAGAGAAGGAGAGAACATCTCCGGGTTGCCCGTGTCAGGGCCGCTTCGTCGTCTTGGCCCCTAAGTCCTCTAAGAAGAGCCTCCCAGGCTCGACGCGAAGGCCTCGACGGTGTCTCAGCACGGAACGGAGGCGCTCTTGAGGACGCAGGGGGGTCACTCTCGGCGACGAGCAGAGGTCACCGAATAGGACAACCTGCGAGATGGGAGCGTCAAGAAAGTGCACTTTGTCGACATCTCTCATCTCAGCTATGTTGAGCCAAAGATGGCACTCTTGACATCGCCTTCCCGAGGGACTGCGCCATAACTTTCGTCGCCCAGAGGGCGAAGTCAGTCGCCATTCGCAGTTCCTGCATCAATCCCGGGTCGAAACTACCCTCGTGCATCTGTTTGAGTGCCCTGGCTTGGTGGACATGCAGTATAGCCATGGCATGCAGGGCAGAGGCGGCTTGGCCCGCAGCACTGTAAGCTTTGGCGGTGAGAGCCGCCGTCAGCCTACAGGCTTTGGACGGGAGACGAGGACGACACCGCAATCACTCTCTCCACCTGGGGGATGTCAACGTACCCCCTAGCCGCCCCGCCATTGAGGGTAGTGAGGACGGAGGAGGGAGGCGAGCGGCTTCTGGCCGAAAGAGGGGCCATCCATAAGAAAGAAACAGACTAATATTAGCGTAGATGCCATTCTTCTAACGATGTAGCAAGTACATCGGGTGTTATGAGAACACAACACCTGAGGGGGGCAGCCCCGCTGAATCTTCATCCTCTGAGGAAATGCTGGGACCATCACAAGCCAAACCAGCGAAATCACTCGGGAGCCACATGGGACATTCGCTGCGGGAGGAGTGAGAGGTCCACGGGGATGGACCCGGCGGAGAAGCTCTCACTGTGATCCTCAGATCTCCCTGAGCTCTAGCTGGTGGTCCTCTGCTCGTGACAGAGAAACCAGGATGGGTAGAGACTGAGGGTGCTCCTCCGCTCCCCTTGAGGAGGGAGAGGTGAGATCACAGCGAAGCCATGCTCATGCATTTACTGTGATCCACGAACGCAGCTTCAGCGTGTTGGATGCCCAGACACTGAAGACAATGATCGTGTCTGTCGACAGAGGACAGGTAACGACCGCAACCAACAATAACACAGATGGAATGGCATCTTTAAAAAACGCGAGCCGTCCGTGATGAGAAACTGCTCTTTTAGTTGAAGCACCCAGGGGAATCGCTGAATCAACAGGGACACCGCTGTTTGTGCCGTCACGCCAACCAGGAACAGCTTCTTTCTTCCAGACAGAACGAAAAGGCTTTGTGGAGAAGAAATCATTCACCCACTTGGCTTTGAAGCAAAAATCTGAAGAGTGGATGCACCTGTCGCCTATTTATACCCGTATGCATGGGGAGTGGCTCAGGTATGCAAAATCCACTAGTCAAATTTCATTGCCGTTTTCTCTTAAAAGTCAGAGCGGATTGGGGCTCTCAAGTAAAGCCCCCTATGTCGTCACGACATATAGGGAACCAAGGTTACACTTATAATCTGAGATATTTTCCCTTAATAAAATCCTAATTTGCTGCTTATTGATAGTAAGGCAGTTCTTGTAGTATTGAGTAGTGTTAAGGAATCTAGAATGAGGTCATGCATTGATATGTGCTTTATAAGTACTAATAAACAGCCAATATGCTAATAATATGCATGCTAATAAGCAACTACTTAATAGTGAATAGTGTTCCCTAATCTAAAGGGTTACCTTACAATATTACTCTTTTTACTGTATTATTGATCAAATAAATGCAGCCTTAGAGATTTATTTAAAAAAATAAAAAATAAAACTTTTTGAAACTCCAAACTTTTGACTCGTACTACATTTTGGAGCTAGAATGTTAGTATAATCACTTCCGAAATAATCACAGACCTAACAGTCTTTTATTGAACTATTTAACCAGAATAATTTTATTCACAAGAGTTTATGCCTTTCAACAAGGCTTTTGGCCCCCAAAACCATCCTTTCTATTATTCAGCCTTCACTGATAAACTGTAGATTTAATCACCTCCAAAAAAACAAAAACAAAATCAGCATACTGTGTACAGTATTTTAAAAAAGTATAATCAGTTTGCTATTATAAACATACCATTAACATGATAAATGTCTGTAATTTGCACTAATCAGATTTCAGGTATTTAATTAGTAAACTAGTAAAATGTTTCATTCTACACCATAAAATTAGGCTGCAAATTAGCCATTGGCTAGAGGCCTGTATGTAGAGCATCTGTAATGTTATTCTGCATTGTCTCTGTTAAATAAACAACTAACTAAATAAATAACTTTACTGTTTACTTGAGCAGCACAATTCATCCAAACAATCAGAACACAAAACACCATTCATGGAGAAAGAAAATGGAAAGAAAAAAAGACATGCTGAAGCTGAAATACTATGCACAGTTTTCTGTTTTATTTGTATGATGTTTGTTCAGTTACAGACATTTGGCTTGAGCTGCTTCGGTCCATAGATTACATGCTGTCGTATGAACAGCCACTTCCAGTTTCATTCCCGGCAACACGGTCACTTATCATCAACCAACGGTAACAGGTTTGACATTGATGACGCATGATGACCTTCCTCTGCGTCAAAGTTTATTTGTCATCTTCACACTGAACATACAGCTTGGATTGGTTAATGCTTAAAGCTTTTAAAGGCATTTTCTGAGGAGTGTATTGTTTTAAATAAAAAATATAGATCATGCATAGTTCATTCTTTTTGGATGTCTCTTGTACATAAAAAGAGTATACATATACATAAGACAAATAGTACACTGAGATTTAACTACGGAATGTGTTAAAGTGTCTCACTGAAACCTTTCTGGTAAATTTTGTAACATAAAATGTAAGGAGAATAAGCGGTCCAATTCAATGATTCAAACACGATCATCAATCTGCATAGATGCAATACTGCATCTAGTAAGGCCAGTCGTGACTCTAAATGTCCAAAGCTGTCAAACTGTCAAAACTACACCTATCACTCGTACATACATCCTTTATCAATTATGTAAATAGAGTATTGCAAAGCTGAGTCTGACATGGTTTGGATCCAGCGCAGATATGCTTTAGTCATCTTGCATTTCATAGAAGATATAATTTGGTATTAATTTGTCCCTTTTTTTTTTTAGATGGAATCGTAATTGTTTTGGTCTAAAAGAACCAACCCTCCCTTTCCAAAAACTTCAAGCCCATTTCAACATTGTAGTCCTGCCCAACTTAAACATGATTCTTTAACATCTGTTGGCAATTTTTTTTTTATTGTGGTTGTAATAAATTTACTGAACCAGAAGCCTTTCAACCAGCAAAATGGCTTTTGGGTAGGACATCAGCGTCTGATTGACCTCAGGTTCCCGTTTTACGCCCTCTTCATCCCTCTGCCCATTAGACACGCGAACACGGTCATCACCATCTTGGGTTTGACCTCGACTAGATCGTCAGGCAGGGCATACACACGAGCACCAATCTTCCTGGCCATGGATACAGCATACCTGCAAGAGACGGACAGAAATAAGCTCGCTATAAAGGGAAATATTACAAAGACTTAGAGGGTGGGAGAAAAAAAAACAATTCTGTGATTCTCTCTTCAATGATTCTGAAAATTTCAGAATTGATTTTGAACTTGTGTGCACTAGAGACAGCTGTATTCTGCTTGCTGCTAATAACACACACTTGAGTAAGTATATAAACTTGCATAAAGTTTCATGTTTGAAGTGAAATACAAAAGCAATCATGGGATATGCGGGATATCATTGCACAGGATATGCACTGTGAGAATCATGCACTTTGCTTAACAATGTGCGCTTTCACTCGTCAGTATTTCAGCATTTTACCTTCCAAATACTTGACAAAGGCAAAATTTATGCCATTACATATTGGACACACAAAGCACACTTACTGCCAGACAGCTGCTTTCACATGCTCATGTGTGTGTTTGTTCTGAAGTGAGTTTGCGGCTGTGTGTTAGTCTGTGTGAGGGGATAAATGCACTCTCATCTCTAAATGTTATGATGCAAAATCGCTGTAAACGCTGTCAGTCTTGTCGTAAGGACAGGACAAAACATCTGATATGTTAAAATAAATCTGTGCATTAGCATGAACATAATAATCAAACAGGAATAATGCTGAGAAAAGTCAATCAATGTGCCTGCCTGGAAGCTTTTAAGTACTTAAAGCAGTCTCAGATACTGAACTTTACATTTATTTTAAGATTATTTTAAAAAGTTATATTATATTACTTGAAGTGCCTAAATATTCCCACCCCTAGTCATAACTGACAGCATATATTTACTGCTTCATACATTTACACACACATTCCAGTAACTTAATGCTGTATGTATGTTATATAATGAACACTCTTTTGAAATCTTACTTTGCATTGTCCAGTTTGTCTTCGTCGCTAAGGCTTCCTCTCTTCACGAGGTCGTAGTTGACGCAGCCAGGCTGGATGGCATCAATCAGGTCCAACACCGCCAGACTGGAGCTGATCTCTTTGTCCTACAGTCCAGAACATTATACTTAATTCTGATATTCAACCAACACATGCAGCTACATGAATACAGGGCTGCTGTATGAATATATAATATGTTTGTGTGTGTGTGTGTTTATGTGTGAGATTCTAGAACATCCTATGCCTCTTGTATTTTAGGATGTAGACATTACCCACTGGTCATGAGACATACTGTTGCTTTATAAGGCTACTTTATCTTTGCTCCACTTCTGCTTAGCCCAATATTTCACTTTTGCTAGACTATATATACTGTATGTACCCCTAGATAATAATGTTTGAACCTTGAGTGAACTGCACTACTTGTGTCTGTGTCATTCTTGGTCCCGGGTACCCGGGTACCCATCTCCTCTGCTCCGTAGCCCACCCAGACGGGATCTTCGCAATTACTTTAATACTTTTATTTTAACAGTTGGGGGCTCGTCCGGGATTTGAACCCGGGAACTCTCCCGGTTGGGGGCTCGTCCGGGAAGGGGGGATTCTCCCTATGAACCGGGAAAAGAAATGTCCCGAGATCGAGTGGGAAAGGCGCGCTGGAGATCAGGGAAGGACCTACAGTAAAAGGGGGTAAGTGTGGGGATGCCCTCCGGCGATTGGTTGGTTTCCTTGTGACGTGACGACGCACTGGAAGTTCTTCTCAGATTCTGTTTGCAAAGACTAAGCTTTGAAGATTTCTGCAGTCACGAAGTTTGACTAAGTTTTGGAGTTCTGGAGGATCACTAGCCTGATGTTACGGCTGTGAGCGCTTTGTAGCGCAATCAATAAGGCGGAAGAGCCAAAGATCCAGAGAGCAAGCAAGCGAAACTCGAAGGCTTTGTGTCCAGTTTTAAGCAGGCTGATTTTGGCCCATCTCATGGTGCGGTCTTCCAATCAGAGATTGTTGCAGGGCCTTAACCTTAAAAGGGGGTAAGTGTTTGCATATTTCTTGAAGGAAATACGGCACTTAGCCCTGTAGGATCCTGGTAATTATCCCGTAAAGAGACGAGATAGGCTATAATCACTAGTCACTAGTGGAATTTCTGTTCCATTGTTGTTACACATCGGCTGGCAACAGTAGTTACTTGTTCATTATTAGCGTGGAGAGTGATTGGATATACAGTACTGATCACACTGTATTTTTGATCACGGCAGCGTGTATTACTTCACGGGACATCTTTTCATATTTAATATTGATGAAAATAATTTCAATTGTTACTGCATGTTGATATATTGTGACCTAAAAGAAGGTGCTTTAGGGGCGACCCAAACGCAGTTTGTGTGTGTGTTAGCAGATAAATGAAGGCTTGAGCACCTTGAAACTGGATATTTTGGTTGATTTTCCTGCTTGTGACAAAGTCTTATTAACCCAGCTGACGATGATGTCGTCGTTGACCTTCTGTCCGTCGCCCAGGCCTTCTAGTACATTCAGAGTGTATCTGGAGAAACACAGCACAAAGACTCATCAGAATCAGATTACTAGCACATTTCAACTAATAAATAAACTCTTCAAGCTTTATATTCATATATATGTTCTTATAAGAAAAAATTAAATACAAATAAATGAATCAATAAACTAGACTTCAGTGTTGTTTTTTCAATTAATAATTTGAATTCTGGTATGTCTGCATTTAAATCACATATGAATTTTACAGTATTTGCGTAAAAGCTTTACAATAAGGTTCAGTTCTTTAACACTTGTTAATAGATTTTAATAGATACTTTTGATCAATTTAATCTGTCCTTGATGAAAAGAAGCGTTCTTTCAAAAATTGTTTGAATGATCAAACTGTTTTACAATATTTATTATTAATTACATTTAGATATTTACTATTCAATATTTACTATATTGTACACGTTTTTAGCTTATTGAATACATATCTGTGCTAATAGTTTGAGTTGTACCTCCTCATGAGCTGCCAGACCAGGGCGAGAGTGAGCGTTGGGTTCCCATCATTCAAGTCTTGCCCCCCGATGCCCACCAGCGAGAAATTAGCTTTGGTCTTCCCCAGTTCCACAGCGTAGTTACAGTTCTCCAGCTGGACACACAGAAACACACACATACATGTAGAGACGGAGGACATAACAGCCCTTTATCCAAACCAGAAAACTAGCTGATTAGAAATGCTCTCTGTCTGTCAATCATTCTGCATATTTGTGTCCTCGGAGAGCAGGTTTTGGAGAAAGGGTAATGGCTACCTTTTTCATGTTGGCTCCTAGTTTAGGATATGGAGGCTTGTTGACTTTGTTGCTCCAGTCAACAGGAACCTTGATCTTCTCATAAAGTTGCAGGATGACCAGAGCATCTTGAAGATCACTGGAAAGGACCGAAACATTCAAAAGTGACACTGACATCTCATTTCATTTACAGTTACAATGTTACATGTGACATGCATTTCATTTCACTATCAACTTGATTAGGGTTTCATGAAACAGATTAAGACACGAAGGTAAGAAAGTGTGAGATTTACACGTATAAGTGATGGACGTGAGGATTGACACCCAGAGAATTCATCCAGTTTCTGAAAGTCCTCTCCTCTCTGGTCTCTCCTGCAGAAAGCAAGCGAAGCAGGAGTTAATCACCGTCCACCAACACAGGAATTACAAACACAGAGAACATTTCGGCCGTAACACATTAGTTACTGAAACTTATTCATTGCCTCATTCATCTGCTAGTAATCTGTTAGTTAACAAAAACACAACTCTTCATTTTTTGTTCATGTTAGCTCAGATCCATTAAATAATAATGAAAACAGATACTACGTTGATTTTAATAATGCATTACTAAGTGTTGAAATTAACATGAACTAAATATTAAATGCTTTAGAAGTGTTTATAATTGTTGGTTTACGTTAACTAATGTAGTTAACTGACATTAGCAAATAGAAGCTTATTGTTATCTGCTACAAAAATTTCTTGACGATCTTAAGTGACAGCATGAAATTAATAATTTGCTTACTTTATTCATACCCACTGGGAGAGTGAGTTTGCAGCATATTCACAGACATCAGAAATCACAATACACATACATAAACCTACACAATATACAATAAAGAAGAAAATGACATCACACGATCCTGGTCATGTGGTTTGAAAGAAAATTACATTTAAACAATCTATTTTTCTAAACTAATTAGATTGTAGAAATAAATGTAATATAGAAAAATGTTTTATTCATTATTTTGAACTCAAGAAGTAAACATTGCAAAAACTGTTAATTTCAGGGAAATACAGGCAATGTCAAGTCAACTGAAAAACAGGCAGCACAAAATATATGTGACATTATATTACGTGTTCTCTTAATGGGTAAAACATGATATTTATGAAGACAATTGTTAAAAAACAACAACAAACAATTAACACCAATAGAAATGAAACGTACCCTAAATTATAGAATGACCCGATTGCTATCTATAAAACAGGGTTAGGTCCAAGTATAGGTCTCTGCAGGAAAGTAATGGGAGTTACCAGATTGGGGCGTTTTTAGACCATGTTTCCTGATTGGCTGACATCATAGTGACAGTAGGTTTAGGGGTGGGGTTAGGTAAGGGGGATCATTTTGATTGCACGATTAAGAAAACCCTGCAGTTTGAAAACACCCACAAATTCAGAAACGCCCACTTTTGCTCTGCAGAGACCTCAATGTAGTTAGGTCTGACTGCTTGCTTTTTGTGTTTTGTACCACAAGAGGGCGCAACCTTCACCAAAAACGGCGTAAACTGTTCAGGCAACCAGGCCCTCCCTTCGAATCTCTGTCTGACGACGCACTTCACCAGTTTCCATTAAAAAAAATCCTGAATGTCCCTTATGTGATGCCATCCGGTATATTTTTAGAAGTAAGTGTTTGGAATGCCACCCAGAGTCATTACGTGGCACATGTATTTAGCAAATGCTAAAATGGCAAAACTAGACAGGAAAGAACAACAATCATGAGCAAAACACCCACCCTCCAGAAGTCCCCAGTTGATGTCTTGATTCTCGGGTTTGGTCAGCGCTGGGTACTTGTTGAAGAGATTGGCCACAAAGGCCAAGTTGAGTTTAGGGTTGCCAGACACGACATCAGTAGACGTGACAAACTGTCTGCAGCCCAGCCCGTCTGCCTGCAGCAGCATACACTCGGCTCTCTTCAGGTCATCTTTCTCCTGCAGAACACACACCAGGACAAGCTGAGATCGTTGCCAAACACAATTCACTGCATTCAGCTGCTGACAAATTAACTAATCTCTCCCTCTCTGCTTCAATGGGACAGATTTGCATAAGCCACAGATGCAAAACAATCTCCTTTTCTATCCCATGGGTCAGTGAGAAAATAAGAGATAGCACAAATCAAATATAAACACTACTATGAGAAATTGCACAGACAATACAAGTACTTGAACATTACTTGAGCCAGATTAATTTGGTAGCTACACAACCTTCAGAATCAATTGTACGTGTAATAGTGCAGAACTCAAAATGATGTCGTGTACATTAAGGCTTTGTGCCAAACCCTAGTGAGTCGCCTACCTAGGCTGCATTTTTAGGACTTCCAAATTAAGCAATGACAAGAAGACAAGCAATAAAGCGCTGTGATGCCTCTCTAAAACATTTTCCGGCATTGTTTGTTGCTTTAAATATTTTAGAAAGGATGGGTTGTTTGAAAAAATAAACTGTTCAAAAGTTTGGGGTCAGTCGTTTTTTATAGAAATTAATGCATGCAGTTCTTTTAAAGAATCAAAGAATCTCTGAAAACTATGTATCACTATGTATCCAAAAATATGAAGCAGCACAACTGTTTTCAACTTCGATAATAATCAGCCTTGGTGAGAAGAGATTTCTTTAAAAAACATTAATAAATCTTACCATCCCAAACTGTTGAATGCTAGTGTACAGGTATATATATATTTCAACATTGTATACTGTCAAAAGAATTTAAAAATGTCAAGTTTTTTTTTTTTTTTGATGAACCACATAAGTAGAGAACAAAATGAGGCGATTAACCAGTTTGAAACAGAATGCAAGACATGGAGGTTCAAGCATTGAAAGGAAACATTATTTGTGGTGTGACTGCACACACTAACACAACACGACGGCAGCGGAAAGCTGAAACAGTGGGTAATGTAGATGATGAAATGACCCTGACTGTGTCCCAGTGCTACAGCAGCTGCTGGCGAACCACAGCACACAGTCAATAACAGCTGCTCTGGCCAGCGTGTGGGGTTAAATACACTCACATGAGTCACCCAGCACTCAAACATCAGACCTCTGTCTGTTTAGACACTGCTGAGTAATGGGCAATGTTGTTATTGTCCCGAACCAAACCAGTGAATGACTTGAATCATGGCATACTGGGGGTGGAATGTGGCATCCGCAGTGTTGTGACTGCCACGGGCCACAGACTGGAACACAATGTGCAATAAACAGTGGCTTTTTGCTGAGTTCCTACTGGAATTCACTATTGTCAGAAACACATAAAGAAAACACATCCTGCTTAGAATTTGCAGTTCTTAATTTTGGCATTGATTTTGAAAATCAATCCCAGGTTTGCATACACTTTCACCCTCTCATGCCAAGTTTAGACCCTCAGAGAAACACTTGTGTTTGAACTGCTGATGCTTGACAACTGCTCTCCAAAAAGCAGGAAGCTTGAGGCTTTCAGGAAGTCCCTAGTGTGTCTCATCACACATCTGAGATGAACTGCCTCCGTCCTGACTTACAATGAGCTGCTACAGTGACTGAAGCTTTGATATTCTGATACAAACCTTCTTGCTCTACTGAGAGCAGCTCACTACTGTGAATGCATTATAAGACCTTAGATATTGTGAAGCTGAACTTATGTTTCTGGTCTCACATTTTTGGGCTGGTTTATGACACAGAAACACATAGTGAATGATGTGCATTTTAAAAGTGTATTGTTTGAACTCACGCTGAAGCCTGACATGTCAATGTCAATACGATCTTCACCCTCCTTTTGACCTTTCGGCGCGATCTGGTTGAGCAGGTGGAAATAAGCCCTCGAGTCCTGCAAGAGCGAGAAGAGAAAAAAAAAATCTTTCAATGAACGTAGTGTAATGCTGCCTTCAAGTCCTGTCTGTAGGATTGTATTTATGCGCTGAAAGCACATGAATACCATAGTGGCATAATTACTAGAGACAGAATCTATTATGCCACTGCATTCAACAGGAAACAATGTTTACTTATTTTTGTGTTAAAAGCTGAAATGAAACATTTATTGATTGTCAGAGACTTCAAAATCATCAAGTTTCAGTCATTAAAAACGACGTAAATCTCTACAAAATACTTGTGGGATTTTCTTTGAGCCCAGACTTACTGAAATTTGACAACATGTTAAAAGAAAGGTTTGCATATGTGCCTTTTGTTAAGCATCATATTAGAAACAGGAATGTATAGCTCATATGCAGTGATAATATGGAGCTCACACTCAAGGAGGAAAATCCCTTTCATTTTAGACCTAAACTGAGCAAAAATATGCAATTTGTTGCAGATGAAATGCTGTTAGCTTGTAATGTATATCTATAAAACAGTATAGCAGACTACTTATATAAAATGCATATAAACATGAGTTGTCACTGTTTATGACAGAAGGCATTTAGTAGATTGCGTGCCACATGTTTTTCAGCAAAGTTTTGATCATGTTGATCATTTAGAGGCATTAGATATTTGAGTATCAAATATGATAAAGCAGGCTTTATGGGGTTAAAGAATCATTTCATAAGGTGGTATTAATCATATTTAGGTTTTCATTGTGAAAATTGCTTGTACAATTTAGTTTCTATGCATTTTTTGAGCTGTTGTTGAAGAACATTGATAAGGCTTGCCAAAAATACTATGAGGCAATAGGCTTTTGCAACTACAGTACTATAACGGTCCAATGCATCCATTTTATTTTGACCAAAATAACAATGGACTTGAAGGCAGCAGAATACATTTACATTGTGAATTATATTTAGATGAGACACAATCCAGAGAGATTTGTGAAAATATCAGAAACACACAATCATGCATGAATTCCTGAGAACATGAATGTGGTAGATTTGAATGAATGAAGAAACCAAACAACAACAAAAGTGCATACTGTAATCGATCTACAGTACATTTGGAAAAGTACCTTTATACAGTTTGAAAAATCTGTTAACTGCAGCATAGAGGGAGATAGAGACAGATATTAGTTAAATCATTCAGTAGAGATCAGTCTTTTATCACCAAACCCCTTTTTTGAGAACGAATGAGTTAAGAGGGCAATCATGTAACAGCTCAGGTCACATATCTTTTATTAGATACTAAATGACCCCTCGCATGTTTTACAAAATTCATGGTATGCCAGAGCATTTGAAAGTCAAAGTAACTGCCCTTTCACTCTGGTGAACTGCCTTTATGAAACAGAAAATGGAGTTAGCTGTTATGTAAATTCTAATTTGGATAAATTTGGCAACATGACTCCACTCATTTGAGGCTGAGAATTATTTAACCTTTAAAGGAAAGCTAAAGTAAATCTGTCATCTAACCATTAGTTCTTCGAGAGATTTAAAAAGCACAAAAGGTCTACGTAAACCTTTCCATTTGACATTTACACGTTTTATGTTATTCCATTTTTTATTTTTTGCAGGTACATGTCATTTAATATACTGTAGTAGTATAGCATATCATTTAAAGTCTCTCTTAAGCTTTCAAAAAGCTAGAACTACATGTACATGGAAAAACTCCCTTTCACAATGCTAGGGTGTTGATATGCTGATGTTGTGGTGTTCTGAAGTCAAAAGAGTCCACCCACTCCCAAGTCCCTATAATATGGTGTGCTCTTTATATAACTCTGGATTTGAATAGAAAGATAATAGAACGCCTCTTCTCAATAAGCCATGCCCCTCTGCTCTGCACATTTTGTGGCTGCAACTGAAAGCTTGATAACTCGCTGCCTTATCTGGCAATAATTTTGCCGGCTGCGTTTGTGCACGTACGTAGCTACCTCATGAAACTGATTTCAGATGGGCGTCTGAGGACGTGTAACAGTTTAATGATCTACAACAAAATTACTGCAATACTAATTTCTTGCTAGAAATTACATCAAAAGTGGATAAAGTTTGTCAAAAACCTACATTTACACAAACTGACCAACAACAGCAACTTTCAGACGCCATCTTTATTTTTAGCTCAACTGTCACAGAATCGAACACACAGGATTGTGAGATATCAAAGGCAGCGAAGGATACATCTTTGCTGCCTTCAAAAATCGATCAGATAAAGGCATCTCAGGAGACAGGAAGGGAAACTAACATTAGATTAGGATGTGCCTTGATACCTTTCTACCTTGGAATGCATCTTTAAAGGCAGCATTTTTCAGCTTTCAGTCCATATGTCTTCCTTTTCTAACACACCTGATTCAGATCATCATTAAGGAACCATGAGGCTCCATGAGATCAACTGGTCTCCAGGACCAGAATTAAGAACCACTACTGTTTAATACAAACACTAACTTTAAGTATGAGCAACACTAATAGTGATTGCCTTAATGCACAACACTAAAAACAACTTTATCTGTGACTATTTAACCACTATTGCACTGATTGGCAAATATTATTCAAAACAACAGGACTGTAATGGAAATATTCAATAAAATTTGACCATGAAACTGTTTATGATGCTTACAATACATAATATGGTTAGTAAAGCCAAGTCATGACATTTTAATCTTTCCTTTATAGCGAACATGGCATCAACACTGATGTGCACATAATTTTAAGGGAAAATATTTATAAATTCATACTTTGAAATATTTTTTATGAACTTTTTTTTTTTTCTGGAATACATCACATTAAGAAATTAGAATGCAGTTTTCAGGTTGTCTGTAGAAAAGATATCTAACAACTGGATTCCTCTTGTGTTGTCAGGAGCTCCAATTTCAGTTACATGTGTTACAATAGAGACATTATAAACATTATCATCCATTACATGATAATAATACATCTGCACAGACTAATATGTTACTTCAATAAGCAGGAAATCAATTTTATATCAATTATCTTGATAAAAGAATAGAAGCCCTCATATGAGAGTGGTACTATGCATTTAAAACTTCACTATAGGATCACAGAACAACAGTTTTCATTTCTTACAACTAAATGAATGTAAAATATATGCTGGACTACCACTACAATTCTCATGCTTAATATCCTCATGAAAACATTAGTAGAGACAGAGATCTGATACTTTATTAGCATGCAGACACACAATCAGAGCACAGTAAACAAACACATTAAGACTGACCTTAATGTCATGGCTGAAGTTGTTGATCTTGCTCCAGCCCGCATTCTCCAGATGGAAGTTGGCCCAGCGAAGCAACAGTTCCTCTGGAGACAGTTTCATCAGATCCTCTAGTGTCTCTCCATCCCTCAACAGTGCTGCCAGAGCTGAAACAAGACCATGTGTATCAGTTAACCAGAATGCTGCGAAGCCCATGATTTAAAGGTGTATTAACTTTTGCCAAACAGTTACATACAGGATTTTCGCTGAACAATGAACACTGATAATTTCTCAATTCCTGTTGTGCTTCAGAAAGCCAATTCACTTAATTTCAAACTGACCAGGCTCTTTCCAAAACCTCAAAGTGCACTACAACTCATTTACTATGTTAAACATCTATGTCAGAGGTTCATCTAATGTTTACTGTAGTGTCTATACTTTTCCCACCACATTAGGTAGGCAAAGGTAAACCCATGATCAAAAACTCTACACTAGCAGAACATGACAGACCAGCTTCAGTTTTCTTGCTCATATAAAAAACGAATAATATATTGTTCATATATTTTTTCAACCGGGTTTTTTTCCTTTCACAGATCAAACAAACCATTGGAGTACCTCAAGGTTCGGTGTTGGGTCCCTTTTCCTTTTTATCATTTACACAATGTTGCTGGTACCTACCATCCAGTCACATGGATTTTCCTGCTACTGCTACACTAAGGATATAAAGATCTACTAGGTACCTGCATGTATCTCAGCTTGGCTGGCAAACTTTGGCTTGGATGAAGGAACAACCCCCTAGCTATTCACTAATCACTGTTTAGCAAGGCCCATTAATAACAACACCATTTTAGACTAGATTACTGTTATGTCCTTCTAGCTATTCTCCCTGCTTATGCACACAAACCTCTGCAAATGATCCAGAACACAGCAACATGTTTATGGATTTTTAACCCAATGAGAACCCAGCGCATTTGTCTCACTTTTACTGAAGGTTGTTGCCTGCAGTTCAAGGCACTGATACTTGTATACAGAACCATCACTGGATCTAAAAATGTCAAGCCAAGGCAATTATATTATTTGTTTATAATTTGTCATCCCAGTCCTGCTTTGTGACTAATCATTTCTGGCAGTCTGTCGGATGAAAATCAATTTTATGTAATAATATAAATGTTTATTGATCCTTTCAGCATAAACAAGGTTCGTCTAAGGCTAGACAACTCTCTCTACAGGACTGTTAAGGCACAGAGACTCTTGGACAGGTCTAAACTCCCTTAAGTTCAATTTGGGAGAAAACAAACCGTTCAGTCCAGTAATGAGGTCAGATACAAGAGTTCAAGTCTGCCACAACAGTCAATTCAGTCAGTTGGGTTAACATTTAACTTCTTTAAAAGAGACGGTCTATCTGTTTGTCAGGATTCCTGGAAGTTGTCATCAGCCGTGACAATGCCAGCTCTATTTGGACTAGACGTGCAACCGTGTTTGTGCAACAGAGACACATACCCTCATTTCTGCTCAGCTCAATGTCAGCAAACAGACCAATTTTGATGATCTGCCACAGCAGGCCCAAAACCAGATGAGGTTTGCCTTCTCGAAGGTCCAGAGCCCCGATGTTGACCACATGACAGCCAATGGCAGAGGCCGAGTTAAGAGCCAGGTTAAGATTCTCCTGCAAGACAGAAGCAATGATGTCTGTTAGGCTCAAACCCCTCTCCAACATATATGTGCTTTAATACATTGGGTGAAAAAATTGATTAAAACCATGGAAGTGTTCCAGAGTCATATTTCAAAAAAATAATCTTAAAAACAGAACCAAACCTGTATTGTGAATGCTGTAACTTTCTTCTTGTTGATGGTCCTCTCATCAATAGTATCAGGTACTGACAGGTTGATCATTTTACTAAAAGAAAGCAAAGGCACATGCATTTAGGTGGTTTCTTAAACAATATAAAATACTAAAACCACAGACAAGATGTTAAGGAGTGTGTCTGACTTACCACAGCACAATACCGTCACCTACAGCCTTGAAGAGATCATCTGTATTGGGATTCATGGGCAACACATGTTTACAGTCAGGGTCTTGTTCCAGTGCTGTGTTGATCCAGTTCACGAAAGCAAACCTCTCCTCCTCTGGACGAGGACACAGAGAACAAGATCACATCACAAACAAAACGAAAAACAAAAGGACAGTACATACTATCAAGTATGTTATGGGATTTTGGACCTGGTATTACCATATCATTGTTTGAAGTACCTTGCAGTAGCATGTAGATTTCAAGATACGAATATGGCAAATCCACACAAAGACACATTATTACCATCTGAAACCATTACTTTACCTTGTACACTCCAAGCCAGTGGGAAGTGTGGTGCAATGTAATTATATAAAAAGGAAGCAGTGGTTTGTTTGATCCAGTGAAAGCAGAGGCGTTTTTACCTGAGAAGGAGTGCTGTGTGCCCGCACTGGAGAGCTCAGATGTGCCTCCGATAGCCAAGATACCCTCTTTCCTGTTGATGGCCTTCCGGAAGCTCTTTGCTATGTCACTGCTCTTCAGCTCTTGAAAGATCTTTGCAGACACAAGAGACCATGATATTAATGATTAAATAATTCTCAAATGCTCAGAAACATGATACAGTAACTGTACAGCACCCAAAGATGCAACTATTAGCTAACTATTTACTTAGTTTACTCGTCTGAAACTACTTTGCTTAATAAAACAACAAAAATAATATAAAATGTTCTCCTTGATATTTTTAATAAGATACACTTTATTTTGATAGTCCACTTTAGACATTCTGCTAACTACTGTATAAGTAGCTTTGCAACTTCTCTACGTGTCAGCTAACTCTCATTAATTTGCAACTACATGTCAACTAACTCTCATTAGAGTATCAGTTGACTGTTAGGTTAGGGTTAGACTTAGTATAATAAGTTGACATGTATTTGCAAAGCTATTTATGGTCAAAAGAATGTCTGTTGTGGGACCATCAAAATAAAATGAAACAATAATAAAATAAACCTTTTATTATGTAAAATCTGTTCCTTGACGCCATACTATATTGTGAATATAGTCACTGCACAATGTGTCTGATAGCACATTTTAGCATGGGACTTTAACATTGACTCGTGTAACTTATTGCTTAAATACAACCAACTGACTAACACATGAAGAAAATATGTATTACTAATTTAAAAATACGCAAATGCACATGTGGTCAAACACACACAAGGTCTTTGAAACTAAACAGATGTACATATTTTCTGACATGTGGCATGTGAGGGTAATTAAAGCATGACTGTCAGTGCCAAGTGGAACATCTAGTGAACGGAGGCCGCTAGCAGCTGCTCCTCGCAGCAGTGCAAACAAACCCAGGGTCGTTCAACAGGATGACACTCTATTTACAGGAAGCATCAACAGTCTCAATTAAACTGAATTGTTATCAACAATTACTGACTGCAAAAATGCTATAGACCAGAATTTATAGATATATCTTAGGTCTCTCCATTAAATGTACATTACTGGTCAAAGGTTTGGAATAATTAAGATTTTTTTTTTAAGAGTTTTTAAAACAAGTCTCTTATGCTCACCAAGACTGAAATCATTCTAATATGCGGCTTTGCTGCTCAAGAAACATTTCTTAAAATTAAAAGATGTAAAAAAAAAAAAAATAATAATAATTGTATTCAAAAAGTACAGTAAAGACATTTATAATGCAACAAAAATATTTCTATTTCAAATAAATGCTTTCTGTTTACCAAAAAATCCTGAAAAAAAAAAAAACATATCACGGTTTCCAGAAAATCTATTCATTTTCAACATTATTAATAATAATAAGAAACTTTCTTGAGAAGCAAATCTGCATATTAGACTTCTGACTTCTGAAGGATCATGTGACACTGAAGTCTAGAGTAATGATTCAGCTTTGATCACAGAAATATATTACATTGTACAATATATTTACATAGAAAACAGCTATTTTAAATTGTAATCTTTCACATAATTACTGTTTTTACTTTTCTAATTAATGCAGCCTTGATGAGCATAAGAGATGTTGGTAACACTTTAGACTAGGGACCAATTCTCATTATTAACTAGTTGTTTATTAGCATGCCTATTATTAACATATTGGCTGTTTATTAGTACTTATAGAGCACATATTCTGCATGACCATATTCTACATCCCTAATCCTACTCAATACCTAAACTTAACAACTACCTTAACTATTAATAAGCAGCAAATTAGGAGTTTATTGAGGCAAAAGTCATAGTTAATGGTTTGTTCATAGCGAGAACTGGGCCTTAAAATAAAGTGTGACCACGATTTCTTTCAAAAGCAAATCATAGTTATTCCAAACTTTTGACCATTAGCATTCGTTTTTGGGGATTTCTAACATTTTGTATCATCTAGAAAATTTGTAGCACAAGTTCTATTCAACTAACTTACACATTTTGAAGCATCATGTCTGTGGCATATGGGATGAGTTTCAAAACAGTCTTTAATACTAATTATCTTTTTTCCCATCATCCTTTGAGTAACACTAATTACTAAAAATTATGCAATGGCAAAATGCCAACTGGATTCAGCACTGAAACTCTAATCTCAATGTATTGTCTACTTACGCTGAAAGATACTGCTGATTATGCAAATCAGGGATTTAAAGCTGTAATGGTGCTTTCTGAAGAATTTGTTGGGTTTCAAATTCAGGTTCAACTAAACAACCTCAAATACCACCTCACATCTTACTAACTTACTAATTCTGACTAATTCATTAATCATGCAGAAACCTTTTGACTTTAATCATTCAACTTTTGAATGATTGTTTTGAACGTTTTCTAAAAGATGTAACCTGCATTCACCCATTAAAGTCTCACACGTGTACAGCACAATATCTGAACAGTGTATGTGATCATGTAAATGTTTTTTCTTTCTTACAACAATGAAATTTGATTTGCAAATTTTAAATCTATAGACAGAACAAAGTGTGGGCTACATTTTATTATCCAAAGCATTACAAGGAAATTTTGGAGAAAACAAAATGATTTATGTGTGTAGCAAGTCTTTGGATGTTTATGTAGATATACATAGAAGGCACATGTATAATTACTTTTGGATATTAGGAATGTATATGGCCCGCATCACAGAACGGTTTGCAGACACTTACAGACACAAACTCATCAAAGCTGATCTTATTGTCCTTGTCTTTGTCACCCTCTTCCATCAGTTTCTGGATGATCTCTCGGACTTTGTACCCAGGCAGGGGCAGATTGGCCTCTTTGAACAGGTCATGAAGCTCATAGTCACAGATAAAGCCATTGCCGTTTAAATCTATGGAGAAAAATGAAAAGTATTGGTTTAGTGTCAACATCTTGCATCTTTCCAACAAGCAAAAAAATTGTGGTTGCAATTGGGTTACGTTGCAGTTCAACAGATTAAAAATGTTAAGAAACCTCTACTACAAAGAAAAAAAAAATGTGAGGAAATGCAATTTAAATAATCTGGTGAGTAAAAATGATCAGCAACAAACTCTGAGAACATTAAGAAAACCTGCATTTTGCTGTATATATGCACGCAAAATAAAACATTATGGAAATGTGAAAATAATTATCAATATATCATTTTAATACGAAAACAAATACATCTATACACTTAAATGAAACATTGCAAAAACAATGAAAATGTTTATATCTATAGAATTTATGCTTATGACTAAAACACAGGCCACATTTTAATGAGTGATGGTTCAGGCTGAACACGTTTACGCTGAAAATTTTTACTGAGCTTTAAGCAATGCTTTCTGGTATTATCCACAAGGCCAGAACAAGGTATCTTGTTATATGTCAAATATGTGGAAGCACAGAATGCCTGTTTTGCTAAAAGCTGGTTGCAGTAGGCAGGCCACTTGGTTTGAAACAGAGCTGTTGTGTTACAGGATGTATATAACAAATGCTATCTGTAATGCTAAAACTGATTAAACAACATTAAAGGAACTGTGAGCCACTGGGGTTTTCTAGTATGTGCATTATAACACCATGACATTAGCAACAGTTTAGGCGTCAATTTTCTGCCCAGTCTGCTGGAGAAATCAGATAAATGGGAAAATGCTGTCTGAAGCACATTCTTGTCAAGGACCATGAAAAACATCCAAATTCCACAAACTTTAAAACCCAGAAGTTTAAGACCACAAACCGCACTACACTCTTAAATGTACTGCTTTCTGTAAATCTACTGACATACCAATTTAATTCTCTACTGATACTCTATGCAATAGGCCTACTCAAACTCAGGTAGTGGCTAATATAGATATTCCAGGCACTTAAAAACAACATTAACAAAATTCACTTCTGAAGTAGGACAATAAAAGCTCATGGGATGTTCAAGAAAATTCTGCTATGAGCATCAGCCAGCATTGAATGGATACAATTTCATGCTTGGATGAACGAACAATTTAAAGAGACTTGGTACTGTAATAGTGCTTATTTCCCATCTCATTGTGCACAATATGGAAAATACTCATAGTACATGCACAGTAAATGCTACTGAATAAATAAAAACAATTACTTGTTAATAGATTAAAGTCCCATTCAAAGTGAATCTTTCAGAGAAACTATATATATATATATATATAGGCAGTAAATAGTTGTTGGTTTGGAGACAATTGTCCATCAGGACCGTTTAAGCACCAAGCAACAGGTGGTGCCAAAAAATTCATGAGGTCAAACGAAAAACCCAGATGTGTCTCTGAGCAACAACAATGCAGATGGTCACAAGCCTCACAAGCAGTTAGGTGGACCGAAACAACATCACAAAAACAACAGTCTAGAGTTTCCCAATCACTGACATTTTAAACCAGAATCCAAATACTATTTGAAGAGCTTGCTAATACTAATTTTTGGTTTTGCACAGTGATGTAGCACTGATATGCATAGAAAACAAAGACAAATCAGTAGAAATCACAAGATACGTGAAGGAAAAAGACACCTTCATTGGTAGCATGCCAAGTAGTGATTAGAATAGACAAAACTGGTCAGACAGGAAGAACACTCACCAACTTTCCCAAAGGCGTCCCGCAACTCCTCCAGCTCTTCTTTGGATATCTTTCCTGCCATCTCCTAACCACCCGAAGCTCTCAGTCAAATAAAGCGTGTCCTTCTGTGGAGAGAAGGACAAAAACTTTATTGTCTGAACTTCCAAGCTGTATTAAAAGAATGCTGGCGACTGTCTTCTAAGAGAGAAACCTGGAAGAGGGATTGTAAAGTAAGAAGATAAGACATGCAAATGACATGCAAACGTCTACCAAGCAGGCAACAGAGAAGACTATATTTGGGCAAAATGTATGTTTGAGAGGGCGTGTCAAGGCAGGTTCTTTTGAATGCAACCTCACCATAATGCAAGTAACGCAGTGACGTGATTCTTTGCCATGACAAAGATTTAATGACAACTACATCTAGCCTATTTAAAGTCATCTTCATTGTGTTTAGTCAACTATAGAGACGACTGCGAACCGAGGCTAGTAAAAGCCTAGCAAAGAGTCGCAAATCCAGTTATTGCACAGTGAAAACTGTAGAAGAAAAGCTGAAATAGATCAACTAAAAGGAATAGACCAATCCACAGCCAATGTGGATGTGTTTCTTTGGAAGATCAGTGTGTTTTTTTTTTATCACCGAGTTATGAAGATGTGTAAAAAATCTGAACACCAGATGACTCCTACAGTCAGTCTGCTTTTGTTTAATTGTGAAATTAACAACTAGACTCTAAAAAAAAATAAAGCTTCCAAACAGGGTTTTTGCAACAAAGTCACAGAAGAACAATTTTGGTTCCACAAAGAACCTTTCAGTAACCAATTCCTAAAAGAAACATTTTTCATACTTATTTTTGGGCTATAAAGAACCTTTTGTGCAATGGAAAGATTCTGTGGATGTTAAACATTCTTTACAGAACCATAGATGCCAATAAAAACCTTAATTTTTAAGAGTATAGCATAAACCTTATCACCCAAACACACAATAAGCAATAATACACTAAACACAATACACTAAAACCAAGGTAAATATTAGTCCAGGATATCACAATAATTAATAGAGTCCATTTAATTGCAGTATTATGGCACTGGCCCAACATGTCAGTGAGTGGAAATGAACATTACGGTGACAAACCATTTGAATCAAGGCCACAGCAAAATCAAAACTGTTGAGCAGTCCAGCGACAACAATTGAACCGAGAACAGATGCAGCGTTTTAGCCTCAATCATGCTTCGCTGAACAAACTGACCTAAGATCTGCTCTTACATGCAGCGATCACAGCACTGCAGCACTGCCCAAGACGCATCTTCCTGTTCCTTAGAAGAAGTCATGATGAATCAGGACACACCTGTGACGCATGTCAACATCTTCATTCCCAAAGTTGCCACTCCAGCTTGTGTTTTTTTTTTCCAAACACTTTGTTATGTCATTAACGGTGCAATCCGTCCCACCACACCCCGGTGGGACAGCATGAAGTTATGGACTTCTAAAAATTGTAAAAAATAAGGTGATGCCAACGTTACATAATGGTTAAACTGTTTATTGTGTAAATAACCCTCAAAGAAAGCACCAGACTAAGGTTATTGTCTGATTTTGTCTGAACGTCTACATTTGATGTCATCCTTCAGCTATTCAGAAAGCCAACATGGAAACCTCGCTGGAATTTTTTAGAAAAAAGACAAAAACAAACGGGCCAATTCTCCACCCTTGTGGCATCCCTTTCCCTGAGCCATACCTTCAATGAATCATCAGTTCGAATTGATTCTTCCACAATTCATGCTTTAAGAAGTTTCTTCACAATTCAAGCATAGATGTAGTCTAATTTGACTAAGGTTTGTTTACTTCCCAAATGAGTGAAGAGTAGTAGCATGCACAAATCTAAGCAACCAGAGAATCCTGTCTAGTCACTAGTTTTCAGTGTCTCTAAGGACTGCCATCACTGCATGAGTGATTGAACAAAGTCAAAACCATTATGCCGTGTTAAGTTACAAAGCAAAAGAAAACCGCCACCAAACTGCTTTCTCTGGGTTTTGATTCAAAAACAGAAACCTGACCATGTGCTCTAACACACAAAATGGATTTACCAGTCTGACGAGATGCAAAAAAACACTTTAAAATCTCACTTAAAACAACTGCACTTTTACCCCAAAGCTGCTTCTTTCACTCCAAACTGGAAACAGATGCAACAAATCTGAACTCAAACAAGAGAGAGCTTTTACAGATGCTGTGCCGTTAGCAGAGCAGCTGTGAAAAGAGACAGACACAGAGAGAACGCTTTTACCCAGTGTATAACGCTAATGAGAGAAATAGGGGATGTAGAGGGAGACAGGAAAAAGCAAAAAAAGAGAAACATAGAGACAAACCGTCCCGACGTGAGCTGAGAATGGAGCTGTAGGCACCAGCGGTCGCAGCAGTATAGGCAGTACTTGCTCCACACCCTTCAAGGCTAATCTGAAACACCAGCATTACTGC